GAAAGACAAGAGGGAGCTTGCCTCTCCTCCCTCTCTTCACCATGGAAGGATACAAAGAAAACACAGCCTTCTGCAAATCAACAAGAAACCCCTCACCAAATACTGGATTTGCCAGCACCCTGATCTTGGACTTTACAACCCCCAGAACTTTGAAAATCAAATGTTTGTTTTTCAACCACTGAGTCTATGATATTCTGTTATAATAGCCATAACTAGCTAAGACAAATCTCAAAAACCTGAAATAAATAAAATATGCATTTTTTGCCAGGCACTGGTGTCTCACACCTGTAATCCTAGCTACTCAAGAGGCAGAGATCAGGAGGCTTGTGCCAAAGCCAGCCCAGGCAAATAGTTCACAAGATCCTATCTTGAAAAAAAAACTCCTCACAAAAAAGGGCTGGTGGAGTGGCTTAAGATGTGGGCCCTGAATTCAAACCCCAGTACTGAAAAAAAAAAAAAAGCACTTTTTTTTCAGAGGCAGAGATGTTCTGAAATATATTTCTAAACCTCTGGTCTTCTTAATAGAAACTCGAGGCAATTTAATGGATTTCTGAACCTCAGATACAAATTTCAGGAGAAAAAACATATTTTTACAGGTCTGAGAAATACTCCCAATGACTCTTCGAAATGTCAGTGAACTTCTTTAGTGTGCTATAGGAGGAGACAGTGATCCTAAAGATTCTGCAGTCCATTTGCTCTAATGTAGCAAGAGAGTGGGGATTTAGTCAAAGAAAAATTGAGTTATAGAAAACAAAGTAACACTTCTTGGACACCTTATTTTGTGGACTGATATTGTTACTTATTATGCTTCCTCCATCATTCATTTATTCAACCAATATTTATTTTTGTACCTACTATGTGCAAAGGACTATTGGAAAGATAGACATGTATGACATATTTTTAGCACGCTACTTGCTAAATTACCAAAGTGAACCCATGATAGGACTGAGCCATGACTGAAGGTCTTTCTCTAGTGACTGGTTGGACCTGATAAGAATGAATGAGTCTGAAGCAAATTATTTCCTTGATGAGTTGACAGTCAGGAGTCCCTTGTGTGAAGGTAAGTTTATGTATTTCTTTGCTATGTTTATATGACCTATGAGAATATGTCCCTTCATAAAGCTTTCTCTGCTTGTCCCAGCAGGGAATTGCCTCGCTTTTTTCTGAGCTGGTATGGTATGTTATCTATACTTTTATTATGTCTGTTATTTTAACTCATACTATTAGTCTTTGTAGAAATTATCTTTCCTCACATGCCCCAGCAAGAGGGGTGTTTCAAAGAACTATCACAATACCTTGTACATATTAAGAACAGTATAAATGTTATGTATATGATAAAAGAAGTTATTCTCACATAATGAAAATATGGACTCTTTGTACCAGAATTACACTGTGTGCTTGTTAAAATATAGAGTCCCAGGTCAGGCTTCATTTGTTCTGAATTAGAATTTCTAGGTATGAAACTGGGAACCTATATTTTAAAGAACCCACCACAGTGAGAGGACTATGAATTTCAGGATATGATAGTCACAGTAAAGTGTGGGAACGGCAAGTAAGTTTGACTCTGGTAGTAAGTACAATGGAGTGGATTCTGAGGCTGAGCCTAAATTCCGTGGGAAACGTGGCATTTAAGACCCACAAGTAAGGAATGGGGAGGAGTCAGTGTGTGTGTGTGCAGTCTATCTGGTATCTCAGAATGTATTACTCAGGAATTAGAGTGTTCTGCGTCTGTTTAAGAATAAGCACAATTCATCCTTGCAGATAGTTTTTAGTCAGCCAGGTTTTCTTCACAATTTCACAGAAAACCCAGGAAGTTATATTTTCAGTATGACTTATGTGAAGTTCAACAAAAAAATCTTTTGGGAAAATTATACCCACCAAAAATTTATTTTAAACATAATTTTTTATGTTTAGAGAAATTAAACATTTAAACCACACAGGGGGCCCAATAAGTGTGAAGGATTTTGTTTCTTTTATTATTATAAAAATGATTGTGCCTTCAATCTTTTGTTATTATACATATATATATATATATAATTTGTAATTATTGAAGACACTTAGAAATTACAGGTAAGAGAAAGTCACCTAAAAATGCACCACCTAGGTGTAACATCTGCTAAAGATTTCCATACACATAGATAATAAGTTTCTATATAATACCTAGTGCAACCCAGATAGGGCTATGCAGCTATTTAATTGTATGTCTGAATCCATTGCACAGGTATCTGAATGTCAATCTTTTCATCACTGAAGGAGGGATAATAACCTTCACTCTGCTTGCATCTCTGGATTGTTGTGAGAGTGTGCATTCTCAAAGTCAGGAATGCATAATAATCATCTTTAACTTCTGAGGATTCAGGTCCCAAAGAATTTGTCATGGTTGTTGTTGAGCTGATTCTATTAATTCACTGAACTATTCAAGTGTTTCTCAATCTTATTCGTTTGGTCTTTGACCTTTTGAGTTTTCTGATTTTCCTCCCACCTCTCTCTTTATCTGCTGACTCTTCTCATTTTACTCCTTGTTTGTGGTTGTCCTTCTATTGTAATCCTCTGCTTTTCTGTATATTTCCTGATTTACACATCTACTTTCATGGTACCAATTATGACCTCTGTGCTGGCACCTCTCATATATTTATATGCAGATGGCTATTTAATCTTCCAGCCTCCAAATGGTGCCTACCATTTTAAAATTTTTACATAACAGAGTCACAAAGGGTAAAAGATATCAAAATTGGTAATTAAGGAGAATTTAGAAAATTAGTGTTAACAAACCTGTAATGAAAGATACCTGATCCACTGCATAACAGGCTCTGTGAGGGTAAGAATAAGGGAGAAGAAACGTGGTAGTTCTTTTTAAAACCAAAGGACCAATCTTGGTAATGGAAGAGTGAAAGCTCTGAGTGTTGCCGTTTAGCTGATTTATGTTAATGCCAGATGGTTAGAGGTGGTTCTATAAGAATGGAAAATCCATCTCAAAATCATTGCTTCCAGGCACCTCTGCTTCCTATGGGTACCAGCCTGGGATTATAGTGGCCCAATCTCTGCTGTTATTGTGAGGTGTCCAATTCATGATTCTCTTTTCTAATTAGGTCTGCACTAGCCATCAGCAGGCCAGGTGGCCAGATCAGGGCTTCTCAGTACCCTAGTGTTACTAATAGTTGGAAGTCATTGATAGTCCCTGGCATGAAGAGACAAGAAAAGACGTGGCTACAGGAACCCAAAGAAGGTTAATGGCATGACAGGATCCATAGACACTGGTCACGGTGACACAGCCAGCTGTGGTAAGCCTGAAGAGGGCTGAATCACTGCATCTCATTCTCTTCCACCATCCAATCTCCAACGAGAAGCTCTATCAAAGGATCCTGCTGATGCAGTCCACAAAGATCAGCTTCCTAGAGCAGAGTAGCAGGGTGGAGAAAGTTGAGAGTACATCTGGAAGGATACATGCAAAATAAAATGCCTTTAAGATCTAACTTTTATAATGCCCCGTTTCGGGTTGCTTCTCAGGACTCTGTAGATTGTTCCCTTGCTTTCATAAGCTTGTTTCCCTCTTCGTATCTTCTGTAGTTTCCTTATTTTAGATGCTTTCTGCTTCTTAGGCAAAACTGGCAGAACAGTTAATAACAATAATAAAATATTTGTTCTAGACTGAATTGGATTCTCCAAAATTCTTAGGTTAAGCCTTGAACACCAATATGGCTGTATTGTGTTTGGAACTAAGCCTTTGAGAGGAGATCATTAAGGTCAAATTAGGTTATCAGGATGGGGCCCTAAACTAACAGAACTATTGTCTTTATAAAATGAGATGAGCATTGTGTGCATACTTGCACATAGAGTCAAGGCCCATGTGAGCCATACAGAAGTCAAAGGTAAAAGCCTCAGGAGAAACCAACCCTGCCAGTGTCTTTATTTTGGACTCTGAGTCTCCAGATTGTGACAACTAAATTTCTGTTGCTTAAGCCACCCATTCTGTGGTATTTTGTTATGACATCTGTAGCTGACTACAAGTCTGTGCTTTTCTTTTCACTGAGTATGCAGTGTTTGAGTATCTTGTGTTTTAGTTCTTTACATTCATGATTCACTATAAACTCCTTTCTAGAAACTGGGTAGAATTGTTACAGTTCTCACAGACAAGGAAACTGAGATTCAGGGGCTAATGACTTGCCCATGCCCACAAGATAACCACAAAGATTCATTATGGGAAATTCTGAGCATTTTTCTATTAAAGTCATTACACTGCGCTAACACCACATGAAAACTGAATGTATTTGCACCTGCTCGTCTCTTTGCCTGGACTATTTGTTATCTCTTGCTATGTAACGCCTTCTTTCAAGAATGCATTCCGCGGTTACATCTCCAGTATTTACCCTGCTCCACCTCCCATGCAATTTGCCTCCATTGTCGTCTGTCAAAATGTTATTTTTAACTGTTGCGGGCATCTCACTAGACCCAAGAGGACGGATGGTGTGTTCATCCTTTAGGGCCCAACTTAGGCGCACATTTGAGTCTACAGAGAGCGCCCGTATGTAATTAGATTCGTAACTAGTACTGATGCGTGTGTTTTGTCCGTAGTGGCCTATCTCGAGTACAGGACTAGACCACTTGCAAACTGGTTCCCGAAGGAGTCTTAGGAGCTTACGCAGCGGCCACGAGCCCCAGAAAAAGTGAAGCTTCCCCTCTCGCCGTCCCACCCCGGCCAAATCCTCGGTAAAAAGCCTCGAGTCTGGAGAACTAAAAATAGTCCGCGTCTGCGCGCGTGGCTTCACGTCTCCGCCTGCGCCACTCAGCTAGCGTGCGGCTCCTACGTCAAGGGTGCGGCCGCTCTTCGCGTTTTCGGATTGGGCGGTGCGAGCCAAAACGGACGGCGCAGAAATGGCGTCAGAGGCGCACGCGCCGCCGGCCCCGCCGCGCGGTGTCTGCTGGGCGCCGCACGCCTTCCTTCGCTTCACCTCTCCCTTCCCCCTCCGGGCCCCGCCCCCTCGGCCGCTCCGCTCCCTGGCGTGACTCGGCACTGTGATCCCCGGGAGAAGAGTCCGCGGTCGCCACCTCTTCGGTCCAGGCCTCGGCCTTCCTTAAGCCTCTCTTTTTCCACTCCCGCGCTTTCTTCTCCTTCAGTTTTGAAGCCGAAGGCGTCGCGGCCGCCCTGCCGGGCTGTCTGTGAGAATGGTGGGAGTGAAGCCGGTCGGAAGCGATCCGGATTTCCAGCCGGAGCTGAGCGGCGCGGGCTCCAGACTCGCGGTGGTCAAGTTCACCATGCGAGGGTGAGGCCGAGTCCGGGGCCCACGGGCATTCTCTGTCAGTCCAAGCTTTGCTTTTTTCACTCTTTCCGGGTCCCAGTTCCCTCGCCGTCTGTGCTCCGTGCCCCGGAATGTCGGGCGGAGGCCGCAGCCCCAGGCCGCCGCTGGGATTAGGCCTCAGCTCTCGGGTGGGCGCCTCCGTTTGTGCACGAGGGCTGGGGTTCCGGGGTGGGCACGGAGGACCCCTGACCCTTTCCCGGCACAGGACCTCCGTGCCTGCCGCGTTTGAATCCTGACGCTCCCTGCTCGGCGTGGGGGTGGGGTGGGGGTGGAGTGGGGGTGGGGTGGGGGTGGGGGCGGGGGCGGCCGGCTTCCCACCGCCGGCACCATTGCGCCGGCCCCTAGCTTTGAGAAGAGCCAGCTGTCACTTGCAGTTTAGCAACTCTGAAATCTTAATTTCCCAAACCCTTCGGTTCTCTTCGCCACCTTCATCTCTCTAAATCCTTTGAAAGATTCAGATGGGTCTTTTCAACTAATCTTGAGTAGAGGGTGGACCCGAGGCTCGGCTCGCGCATTTTGAATTAAGGTAATGTTGGCTCAAGATGCTTCATAATGTTCGTAACGTTTTTGTCCCTCCTCTGGTTGTCACTGAGACTCCTCCGTGCATGCGGATTACAGTTCGGCTACATCACAGGTAGACAAGGCAGGTCAGACGTCTGGGTTTGGCCAGAATTGCGTTTTTGATTTCATGGTTTACGATGTGGGGGATCTTGAAAGATGTTAACTGTCTTTAGTTAATCTCAACAAAATTTATAAGTCACGGAGCTTCTTATATTGAGTATGATAAAGTCCTCGTGTGAGATTGACATGTTGGAACTAGGCATTGAGGACACCAAGATTCAGCCAATCTTTACAGATCTTCCCTCTTGTATCTCAGATGGAAGGTTTAGAAGTCTCTACTTTGACCTTCTTGACAGTGTTTGCACATAAACTAGTTGGGACCAGTGTACTCGCGGTATCACTTCATGTAATATGCTTTCTTGTCCAAGGAACTGTATAAATACAAGGTAATATTTTGAATGTCACAAAAAGTAATAGTGGCTAGCACATGGTTCAGTAAACGAGTATATGGTAGCACTAGGATTAAGTAGTTTTAGGGGATGGAGGGATGCAGATAGAGATAAAGCAAGTTAGGACACATTTTTGGACCATATGCACAGAAAGGGACAGTACATTGGATTTAATATGACATGTGGACTTTAACATTTACTAAATTGAAGAGGCTAGGTGATTTCGTATATATTAAGACATGGCTAAAGGAATGTCAGAATTCTGTGTCTTCTCAGCTTTAACAGTTTTGTAATGTCCATAATCTTATTAATAGGGGATTGCCTATACATTTGTCGAATGTCTAGTGTACAGAAGAAAAGAGAACAGATGATTTCAACAAGGAATTTCACTTTTGGTTCATTTTTCTAATTCTGGTCATTTGGAGATTTTATAGGTTTTGTCCCTCAATTGTATTTTCCCCCTTACCATACCAGAGGGAGAAATGATCGGGTAATAAATGTTTATTTATCTGAGTGACAAAAGTGGAGAAACACTGCTGCTAAGGAAACACTTCTGTTAGCAGTGTGGTGTCATTTAAGCATAATTGTAGACATTGCTTGATCAAGAACTGTGATTTATATTCAAAAAATATTTTAGTAGAATGAAAGTTTCTTTTTTGGTAAAAATTGAAGACAAATGTTTGAAATTAGAGAATATTTTTAGTTTTAAAAATATTTAGGTTACATTTAAAAATCGAATAAGGTTTGTATTTACCTTAAATGTTCATTTAACATGTTGACGATTAATGTGTTCCTCTTTGAACTCATTGTCAGTATAACCTCAGATTTTTGTACACCTGTGTCAGTATTAGATGCCCAAACAGCTTCTGTCAGATAAAACAAATCTTGTTAGAGCAAAGTTAATGTCCTGTTTTAGACTGAGAGCATAATTTTCTCCAGCACCTATTTTTTTAAATTTCCTTTCCAACCCTATTTCAAGATATGTTCTTTATTCTCACCACCATGCTTTACCCACCCTCATTCTAAACTAATTTCAGTAAAATAATATGTAGATTGTTCTCGTCAACTGTCTTCAGCAGCTGTCCATTAGTTTTCTTCATATATATATATATATATATATAAAACATAAAATTGACCATTTTAGCTTTTTGTTTTGTTTTTAAAAAGACAGGGTCATGCTATGTAGTTCAGGCTGGCCTCAAACTAGCAATCCTCCTGCTTCAGCCTATGAGTGCTGGGATTTCAGGTGTGTCACAGCAACACAGCATCCTTTTAGCAATTTTAAAGCATACAATTTATTGGTAGTAAGTACATTCCCAGTGTTGTGCTACCATCTCCATTGTTTCCTAGAACTTTTTCATCATCCAAAACAAAAATTCTGTATCCATTAAATAATAACAATAACTCCCCATCTGCACTTCTCCAGAAGGGCAAAACTATGTTCCACTAAACAGTACAGTACTGCTCCCTCCCCTGGTAGCCTCTATTCTGCTTTCTGTCTCTAGGAAGTTGCTACTTTTAGGCACCACAGGTGAGTGAAATCATAATGTGTATTCATTTTCTCTTAGTATAATTATGGTTATCCATGTTGTAGCATGTATTAAATTTCATTTTTATGGTTTCATAAAGTATTCCCATGTATGTATATACCATGTTTTGTTTATCCATTTATCTGTTTAGATAGGCACTTGGGTTCTCTTTGACTTTAGCTATTGTGAATAACCCTTTTGTGGACATTGGTATAGTAGAATCTCTTTTAGACTCTGCTTTTAATTCATTTTTCAGTACATATTACCTTCAATGATTTAACTTCAGCTCTACCTACAAACTAATCTTAAACCCTTAGACAATTCATTTCACTCCCTGATACTCTTTTTCCCTACTTGTCAGATGGGAATAAAATGTAACTTGTCTGTATTGTTAAGAGAGTGAGAAATGATACCTGTGTGAATTATATATTCTGGTAAGACTTTTGAAACAAGTATCTCCAAATTGTTACTTTGTAACTATTCCTGCATACATTTAAGTAGTGCCAGTTTTGTTGTTTCAGTTTATGGGTAGACTGTTAAAAGAATATACATTTTCTCCACTAAATGTTAGGAATGATTTTTGTCTTGAAATAGAGACTGTATGACCTTTTTGTCATTGCAGTAAACCTCACTGTATCATTTTTGCAGACAAGGTTTAACATATACTCAATTTTCCTGAAGCAGGTCTTGGTTTGTAATTGGTTAGACATCACTGTTCCCTGTCAAGAAGGATGTCAGTGTGTATGAGGATGTTGAGTTCTAGTGGATATGGTACCTGTTCAAAACTAATTAATTATATATATTAACTACATATTGCAAAATTGGTGAAGACTGGAGGTAGTCTACTGAAATACAAAGTTAGCAAGCCCAGTAGTCTGTAGGAATCAGAGAGATGACATTAGGGAGCTGAAAGACTATGCCATATTGAAGCCTTGGAGTAAACTTCTTAATTGAAGGGTTTTTATCTAATTGAAAAAGTAAACTATTTTCGAAGCATAACATTTAGAAAAATGTATCCAAATTTGTAAAGATATGGCTTGACAAATTTTCCAAGTGATCACAGCTGTCTAACCAACACTTAGATCAGGAAATAGATCATTACCAGAACCCCAAAATGTTTCTCTTGAGTTCTAACACTACAGATTAGTTTTGCATGAATTTAAACTTTATAAAAATGGAATCACATAGTGCTGTAGTCTGTAGCTTTCTTTCAAGAGCTATGTAAATCGTTTGACTTTGGCAATTAATTTAGAAATGAAAGCAACAAAAGACATTGTAGGTTGTTTTGGGGTTTTGGAGTGGTGGTTAAGAGCTGGGGTTTAGAATCAAATTCTAGCTCAGTATTTCATTGTTCTTGGGAGCTGTAAAGCTTAAGTGAGGTAGTAAGACTTTAAACGTTTTGTGAATTGTGTAATATGTTGTAACTGCTCAAAAGATAGGTCGCTGACTCCTGTAGTAACTTGTGAAGTACAGTTAGCAAGTTCATGAAATAAAATTTATTTTATATTATGGCTATAAAATAATTTTTTTGTTAATAGCGCTTTCAGAGACAGCTGATCTTGGATTAGATTTAGAAATGCAAGTGGCTCTGCTACTGTGATAACTTGCGGTCTTTAGTTCTTACAAGGTAATTGTGTTAGCTTATGCCAATTTAAAATTTTTAGTTTTGTGGATTTGATTCTTTAGGTATTGTAGAAAGCTAGAGATTTGTTTACTGTATTCTTTTTCTTTTAGAAAATACAGCTTAACATCCTTCTTACATATCCATTTTATATATTGGAATAAACAAACATTCAGTTAGAGAAGAGGTTAGAAAAATAACTTAAGTTTTTTTAAAACTTGACGAGACTGTCTCTGGACCCTTTTGCAACAAAATATAATTCTGAAATTTAAGACATACTGTGTCATTAATATTTTAGAGCTGGGAGAGGTTTTGAAAAATCTAGTCTTTATACAGAAAAATTAGGTGGCTTGTTCATGATCTCAGCTAATAATGGAAAATTGTGTATTTTTTTTTTGGTGAACCCAAATTGAACCCAGGGCCTTGTGCATGCTAAGCCCTGTACCACCTTGCTATATCCTAGCTCTGAAATTTATTTACTTTTTTGGGGGGAGAGGGGAAGGGGCACTGGGGTTTGAACTTGAGCCACTACACCAGCCCTTTTTTGTGATGGGTGTTTTTGAGATAGAGTCTCTCGGACTATTTGCCTGGGTGAGCTTCAAACCGTGATTCTCCTGATCTCTGCCTCCTGAGTAACTTTAGGATCACAGACATGAGCCACTGGTACCTGGCTACAGGTTTTTTCTGCCTTTTTTTTTTTTTTTTTGCAGCACTGGGATTTGAATTCAGGGCCTTAAGCTTGCTAGAAAAGCACTCTACCACTTGAGCCATTCTGCCAGCTTTTTAAAGAAATGCCTTTTTTTT